TAGACCAGGCTGGTCTTGAACTCACAGAGATCTGCCTGCCTCTGCCTCCTAAGTGCTGGGATTAAAAGCGTGCACCATCACGGCTAACTTTTACTTCTATTTTCATTTCTCCCTGTGTACCTATGTAATCTAGAAGCTACAAACAGAAAACATACAGTATTTGTCTTTCTGAGACTTAATTCACTTAATATGATATTATTTACAGCTACATATTATTTTCCTACAAATAGCACAGCTTTGTTCTTTTCTGTGCCTGGAAAAAAATTCCATTGCATGTACACAACACATTTTCCTAATTGGTTTCTGGATAGACAATTGGGTTGGTCCCGTAACCCGGCTATTGTGAAGACTGCTATAGTGTCTGCTATAGTGACTGCTAAGTGTCTCTGTGATGTACTGGCTGGGAGCCCTTTGGGAAACACTCAGGAGAGGAACAGTTGGGTCACATAGAAGATTTACAGTTAGTTTTTTGAGAAACTTCCATACTGACTTCCACAGTGTCTGGTCTAAATTACACTTTCCCTAGCAATGTCTATGAGTTCCCCTTTATCCACATCCTTGAAAGCATGATGTAACATGAATAAAAGACCAGAGACAGACACTGTCAGAGAAGCAAAGTGGTCAGCCACTCGCTCTTACCTCTACCTCAGACCAAAATGGGTGATCCTGGCTCCACGATTCCTCAGAGTGCAATGCTGACTGCACTGCTCTCCACCAAGCCTCAGACTGCAGTCCCTGAGTTCCTGTCTCCTCCTGCCTTATATTCCTCTCTCCACCCAGCTGTATCACTCCTGTCTCCACCTCTCTAGTGCTGGGATTAAAGGTGTGTGATCCTAAGTGCTGAGATCACCTTTGTGTGAGCTGCTTCTCTTCTAGACTGGATTACTTTTGTGTAGCCCAAAGTGGCCTTGAACTAACAGAGATCTGTCTGCCTCTGTCTCCCAAGTCCTGGGACTAAAGGTGTGCGCCACCACCACCTGGCTCTATGGCTGTGGCTAGCTTTGCATTTTGATCTCCTGTTGCTTTATTAGATCATAACCAATATATCACCACAGTCTTACATTAACACCTTTGACCCATCTGACATTGACTTTTATGCAGGGTGAGATATAGGGGTCCACTCTTCTGTCTGTGGACACCCAATTTTCCCAACACCATTTGTTGAAGAAACTGTTTTTTTCTCTGCTGTGGATTTTTGGCTTCATTGTCAGAAATCAAGTGACTCTGGCTGTGCAGGTTTGTATGTTGGTGGTCTTCCTTTCCATCAGTATGTGTCTGTTTTTGTGCCAGTGTCAAAACTCCGTATTTTTAAATTAGACTTTGTATATGACTTTTAGTCAGGGATAGTAATACCTTGAGCACTATTCTTTTTTCTCAGGGTTGCTTTGGTTACCCAAAGTCTTCTGTGTTCCCAAATTAAGATTTTTTTTTTCTATTTCTGTGAAGAGAAAAAAGCATTGCACTTTTAAAAATTAGGATTGCATTGAATCTGTAGATTGCTCTTAGTATAGCCATTTCACAATATTAATTCATCCAATCCACGAGCACAAGAGGTCTTTCTATCTTCTAATATCTTTTCCAATTTCTCCCTTTAATGCTTTAAAGTGATCACCATATAGGTCTTTCACTTCCTTTATTAGTTTTATTCTGAGGCTCAGGGGTTTTCGTCTCTTTTCTTTCCTTGCAGTTGTGAGTGGGACTGTTCCCTGATTTCTTTTTCAGCGTGTTTGTTACTAGGATATAGAAAGGCTACTGATATTTTGAATGGTAATTTTGTATCCTGCCACTTTGCTGACGGTATTTATCAGCTCTGTTTTCTTATGAAACAAAGAAACAAAAATCTTCTTAATGGAGTCTTTATAGGCCTCTTATGAGTAGAATCACACCATCTGCAAATAAAGATACTTTAACTTCTTTTCTGTCAAACAACTTTTTTTATTGAAACAGAACTAGCATAAAATGTAGACTGTTAAACACAAGGCTTGTTGTATTTTTCACCTCCACACACAACACAGGCAATCATCTCATCATGAGCAGCCATCCTGCTGCTGCAGCTAATGCATGGGCAGATTCCAGGAGCACCTCGGATGTGCTCTGCAAGGTATTTGAGGTTGGGGGTTTAGCTGAATGGTAGAGCATGTATGTATCTGACATGCACAAGGCCCTGGGTTTCATCTTCACTTCAAATTCTCCCCTAAACCTATAACTTGTTATTGTTGATCTGGTTCCCATATTTAGGAAACTTGTTCTCATTAGGAACTTGACAGGTTGGGTAGTCAACTTTAAAAATATAAGGGAAAAATTTTAATGTTTAAGGAAGCATTCCAATTTTTGGCGACTCCCACCACATATTTACATCATTTGGTTTTAGAAACAGGGTACTGTGTAGCAGTCTAACCGCCACCTGTAACCTGTCTTCAACTTGAGTTATTTGGCTTGGTGTGGTTTTACTGTGTTTTGAGGCAGAGGGTCCGTCTCTTGTATCCCAGCCTGGTCTTGCAACCCACTGAAGCTGATAACTTTGAAGTTCCCTTCCCTGTCTTCACCTCCCGTTGTCGTACTGTACCACGCCACCACTCCCCATGTGGTATGGTTTTTGCCTTTGTATGAGACATTTCTGCGGTGGAGCAGCAATGATTTACGATGTCATTTGGGTTTTTAATTCTCTCTTTTCCATATCTGTCTCAGAATCCAAACAGACAGGTTAGAACAAAACCCCCTGGAACATGACAAATGCATTGGAATTGGACAGATCTCTCCCAGGTCCTTGCATAACTTAAGATGATTTAATGTTGGCTCTTTAAGTCAAGGATTTTTAAAATGCTCACAATGAAAGCATTTCCTATGTAATACTATATAACAACGAGAAATGTAAACACTATTCATCAGCTTATGTAGCAATCAAAATCCTCTTGTTACACACTTTACAGGTGTGTGGTTTCCTCTTCTTCCACCTTTGAGACAGACTGGCCTTGAACTTGTTTTGTAGCTAAAACCCCAATTTACAGGGTTATTTTTAATGAATGACAGGCCCATCATGAAAATCCCAGTCTGAGAGTGATAAAGGGCTGGCCTGGTGCACATAAGGCCGTAGGCTGGATAACTAGCGCTGCTAGAAAGAAAAACAAAGGAGCAAGAGGAGCGGAGGGAGGAAGGCAGAGAGGAAATGACAGGCCAGGATACTAAAGGCAACATAAAGAGGCAAATATACATCAACTGTAGGAACATCCGCTGCGCCTTTCCCGTCAGGACCTATTACAAGATGTGGCACTGGTGAGGAAGCCACAAAGCCAGATAAGCCAATTTTAGCTCTGCCAGGAGTGCCAATTTGTTTTTTGTTTGTTTGTTTGTTTTGTTTTTTAGTCCACATAATGTTTTTTACATTATACCACACTTTTGTTTTGTTTTTTGATGCAAACAGCACGAGGCTTTATTATAGTTGATACCACACTTTTAAAACTTTATATGGACAGAAAAAACGGGGAACCAAGCTGAAAGAGGACTTCAAAGATGGTATTCTCCATTCCCTCAGACCCTCAACTGCCTGGAAGGTGAGTGGGGAGCAGACACACTTGCTCTTAGGATTTCTCATTTCTCTCCTTGACTGCATTTGTATCAGTGAGCCAACCTACTCACCTAGCAGGTGTGGGATCAGATATCTATATCTTTTGCCAGTGTCTATTTTTTTTTAACTTTTAAAAGATAGTTGACTTTTATTTTATGTGCATTGGTGTTTTGCCTGCATATATGTCTGTGAAGGTATTGGATCTTCTGGAACTAGAGCTACAGACAGTTGTGAGCTGCCAAGTGGGTGCTGGGAAGTATAGCAAGTACTTTTAACCAATGAGTCATTTCTCCAGCCCCTTGTCAATGCCTTGTTATTAAATCACACAGAACTACTCAAATATAGAGCACAGAGGTCAGGTGACCACAACACACATGCACCATTGGTGTGAGCTGGTGCTCTGAGGTTCAGAGGACAGATGGACCATAGCTACTCCCAGGACCCCAAAGAAGTAGGTTTTTATTCTGTGCCTTATCTTCAGCATTTAGAAAATAAGAACAGCAATACTGCCATTAAACTTCGACACAGGACATCCAGAGCCTTACCAGGTGCTACCAACTAATTACTATGATTTGTTATTCTGCCAGAAGTGGACAACACTAGTTTAGATTCCCTCAGCCAGTTACACCAAGGAATCCTCAGGCTGTAGGATTAGGTCACAAACACACAGGAGGCCTTGGGTTCTACCAGAAGTACTACAAACAGCAATAACAAAACTACAAAAACAGTAAGAACCTGTGAATGGTCACAATAGTAGCATCGACTACTTGAGTAAATTACTTGACTCTCTGCCTTTAACCAGGAAGTTTAAAATAAAGGCCAAACACAGTGGCACCAGGGAGGTGGAGAAAGGGTAGAGACCTAGTGCCAGGATGCCCTAGCCTATACAGTGAGACCTCACCACCAGCATCACCTCCAAAGATTAAAAAAAAAATCACACAGAATTATAGTAATCACTGACCTCTTGGCAACTAGCTGAGATTCAGGGAACCACAGTAGCACCTCCCAGCATGTGGGATGAAGAGAAGCAAAGCTGGGCCTTTCTTACCCTCCAGAGTCTGACTTTTGAACCCCCTCTTGGCAGAGAAGGGGACCTGGATGTGAACTCTCCAACAGGGCTGATCCCAAGACTCCTGTGGACATGACATTATGTAAGAGACACCAAGGTTCACCTACACAGGACTTTCTAGGAAGACCTGCTGTGCCCAGAACCCAGGGCAGCTGCTTTCAGAATAGCTCAGCCAGGCTCCAGACATGGAGGTCCCAGGACAGTCTGAGACAGGCTGAGCTGACCCTCCCTTCCCCCTTTAGCCTTCTGAAATATTTATCAGGATCTGATAATCTCAGTGGAGCCTGGTACAAATGACCTTTAGGACAAAGAGAACACAGCCTGAATGACGGAAGCAAGCAGGGTCAGAGATTTGAGTTGACTCACCCTGGCCTGCCTCCCTGGGAAAGCAGAACTGAAACTGGTTGGAAATGGTGCTTCTCCCTTCTCCACTCCGGCTTTAGCTCTCAGCCTTGGGGGTGGGCATATGGCCTTGGATGCAGTAACTATCCCAACACACAAAGATGAAGAGGCACTTGGTAAGAACGGACATCTAAGGGCTCACTGGGGACAAGACTGCTCAGCTGGTGTGAGGCCCTGAGTTCCATGGGGGGAGGGGGACAGAAATGGGGCTGTTTTGTGGGTTCAGGGCTAAGAGAGATATGGCCACTAGAGGGTGACAGATCACACACAAGCAATGTGAGGCATTTTATTCAAAGCCAGAGCTAGGCATAGATAGCCTGAAGGAATAAAAACTGTGCCAGCTTATCTCCCCAGAGGGCACTCAACACACACACACACACACACACACACAGAGAGAGACCTGTTTGGTTAGCAAACTAACCATCACTTGTGGCCAGATCTGCTCACTGCACAGTTAATACCGCCAACAGTGGGTGCGCATGGCATCACATATTGACTGCATCACAGCAGGCAAGGCATGGTGGACTGGTCTGCAGTGTTCAAACTCCAGCACTCAGGAGAATGAGGTAGGAGGATCATGGTTTAAAGGCCAACATGCACTACAGAGACCCAGCAACAAAATCGGTTCTGCCAGCTGTTCGATTCTCTTAGTTTGGGAATGAAGACCAGCTGTCCTCAACTATGGCAAACATTAGGCCAACTTTGGAGGGAAGACAGAGGCTCCCTGTAGTGAGTCTGTGTTATGCCTGTGCCTACAAAACCCACCTTCTTTTCACTGTGCCACTTTGTTGGTACCAAAGGGAACATGATCTGTAAGATGAAGAGGGAAGGGGAGGGGCCATAGGCCCTTTCTATATTATTTTCATTTTGCTAAAAGGGGCAAGCCTTTAGAGACTCCAGGATCCCTGCACACTAAACACAAAGTCTACCAAGCAAATGCAATTTAGTAAACCTTTGAAAAACTTTTGATTGTGTGTGTGTGTGTGTGTGTGTGTGTGTATGTGTGTGAGTTTATGTGCATCACATGTGTGCAGGTGCCCAAGGGCTGGATAGTGTGGGATCCTCCAGGACCACAGTTATAGGAAGTTGTGAGCCACCATGTAGGTGATGGGAACCAAACCCAAGTCCCAGCCCCTGACTTATCTTTTAAAAGAGAACAAAAGCTCAGCTAGATGCCAGGGCTCTTACAATGGGGGCCACAGGTTAGGGAAGACATCCAGATATCAGGAGTCAGATCTTGGAGACAGAGTTGAGCATAACAGAAAGGCTGCAGGAAGAGAGGTCAGACCTGAGTCAACGGTACAGACCCTGGCTGTCCCTCAGAGGGAGGCTTCCTCACTGTCCTTTTGGGACAATGGAATAGGCCACTATTCTGGCTCAAAGTCACGTCTAGGTACAAGCCCTGCATCCTGCTGTGTTTCTGCTCCTCTAACCTTTCTGTTTCTCTAAAAACAGGAAACAGGGTCTAAAAGATTTAATAACCAGCCATGGTATAGCTGTATGACCCACATCTGTGGGAGATTTTATCCATTCATGGTACATTAACAAAAGACAGGAGCCAGGTAGTGGCAGTGGCTGTGCACTCAGGAGGCAGAGGCAGGCAGATCTCTGAGTCTGAGGCCAGCCTGGTCTACAGAGTGAATTCCAGGACATTCAGGACTACACAGAGAAACCCTGTCTCAAAAAACCAAACAAACAGAAAAGGAAGGCAGTAAGCTTGCTGTAAAATTCTTTTAAAAAATTATTTAACTTTGCTTTTTATGTGCATTGGCATCAGATTCCCTGGAACTGGAGTTACAGACAGTTGTGAGCTGCCGTGTGGATGCTGGGAATTGAACGCAGGTCCTCTGAAAGAGCAGTCAGTGCTCTTAACTGCTGGGCCATCTCTCCAGTCCCAACATTGTTTTTTATAGTTTAATGTAACTTAATAGCAAACTTACAGGAAGAGCACAGAAGACAGACAACATTAAAAACATCTACTTGCATGCAGGACAACTCAGAAAAGTATAGTGAATGGATGGAATCTATTGTATGATAAAAATGCTACAAACACCATTTAGTTGCCGTCAATAAGAAATTTGGATTTTAAAAAATCCAAATGCTGGCATTGTCCAGAAAATTTTAACAGATTTATAATTGTTATAAAGTTGAACTGTTGAAATGTGTTCACTGAACCATTTTGCTTGCATTAATACTTTACATCTTGCATTTATATTGAAAATTCACACACAAATGAAAATGGAAAAACTGCCAATACCTGATTTCTGTCCCCTATTTTTAAAGTTGAAATCATATACTTAGGTACATTTTGATCCCATGGAAAAAATAGCTAACATTCAGAACTACTGATAACAGGAAGAGGAAAAAAATTTTGAGAAGGAAATGTTTCCCCTCATAGTGGACTCTTAAGCACGTTCTCTGCATAATTGTTACATGTTTGGCATGGATAGCACACAGGTTGGTATCTTCAAAAAGGCTAACCAGATAGGCCTCACTTGCCTCCTGCAAAGCACCAATAGCTGCACTCTGGAAGCGCAGATCTGTTTTGAAGTCCTGAGCAATTTCTCGAACCAGACGCTGGAAGGGGAGCTTGCAAATCAGAAGTTCAGTGGATTTCTGATAGCGTCTGATTTCACATTAGTGCCACAGTACCAGGCCTGTAACGATGAGGTTTTTTTCACCCCTCCAGTAGAGGGCACACTCTTGCGAGCGGCTTTTGTAGCCAGTTGTTTCCTGCGTGCTTTACCACAGGTGGATTTGCATTATGATGGTTAGTTTCAGTTGTTAGTGTGGCATAACCTAGGGAGTCTTGGTGGGGGGGTTGTCTACATGGGGTTGGCCAGTGCACATGTCTGTGAGGGACTGTCTTGATTGCCTTAGTTAATTTTGAGAAAACCTGGCCTGAAAGTGGGTGGCACCACTTCCTGGTTTAGGGTCCTGGGCTGTGTAAGAATAAAGAATGCTAGCTGAGCATTGAACAGGCAAACATTCCTTCTTTGCTCTCAACTATGGAAGTGAACAGTTATTTCTGGTTCCTGCCTTGACTTCACTGCAACGATGGGCTGTTAACCGGTAACGGGAATTATGAGCTAAAATAACCTTTTCTCTTCCAACTTGCTTTTTGTCAGGGTGCTCTCTCTCTCTCTCTCTCTCTCTCTCTCTCTCTCTCTGGATATATTTATCATTCTCACTCCATTCCTTCCTGTCTTTTTTTGTTTGTTTGTTTTCCAAAGACAGGGTTTCTCTGTGTAGCCCTGGCTGTCCTGGAACTTGCTCTGTAGACCAGGCTGGCCTTGAACTCATAGAGATCTGCCTGCCTCTGCCTCCAGAGTGTTGGGATTAAGGGTGTGGGCCACCACCACCAGGCTCTTTTGGGTATTTTATCACATCAATAGAATGAAACCAGGACATCAAAGATGTGGGGCCTTTGCTGTGATAAACCTGACTGTGCTTTTGAACCTGTTGGGGAGAAATGTGGAAGGGTTTGGTTTGTGGGGCTAGAAAAGCTGCTGAAGGCTGGATAATGGGCTGGATGGATAGTGGAAGTTCGGAAGGCAGTAATGCAGAGAGAAATGCAGACAGTGGAGGCTCAGCTTGTGAGGTTTCAGAGAGGCAAGGACTGTCAGGAACTGGGTAGGGGCCCCATTCATGAGATATTTTGGCCAAGAATCTGGCTTTATGCTTCCTAGGTCCTGAAACTCTGAGTGAAGTTTGGTTTAAAGAAAATGGACTGGTTTGGCAGAGAAAATATCAGAATGAGAGCACTTCTCAGCCAATTTTAAAAGGCAGCTGTAATTAATAGAGACATCAGCACCTCTGACATGAAATTCCTGCACTGCACTGAGAGAATGGAAACATATCCTGAGGGCAAAACCCTGCCCTCAGAGGAGGCTTCATCTCTAAAGATTCAAATTCATTTCAAGGAAGAAAGCAGAAGTGGAAAGGTTCACTGTTTTCAGGAGCAACTGCTCATGAAAGCGTTCCCTACAGGCATCACGCAGACACTGATACAGCTGGGTCCAAGGCTGACTCGGATAAGCTGCCACTGTGTGCCAAATGTGCAAGCTGCTTGGAGTGATACTAAGCCCCCGATGTAGCACCATTCCCTCGGGATGATGAGCCAGCGACCACATCCATCAGGTAAGTGACAGTACTTTGCTCTTACTGGAATAGACACTTATTTTTGGTCATAGATTGGTCTTCCCTGCATGCAATGCTTCTGCCCAAATTGCCATACTTGGACTTACAGGATGCCGTAACCACTATCATGGTATTCCACGCAGCACTACTTCCGACCAAGAAACTCACTGCATAGCCTTGGAAGTAGGCCCATATTCATGGGACTCACTATTCCTTTTTTGTTTGTTTTTGTTTCTCTGTGTAGCAGTTCTGGTTGTACTGGAACTCGCTTTGTAGACCAGGCTGGCCTCAAATTCACTGAGATCCGCCTGCCTCTGCCTCCTGAGTGCTGGGATTAAAGGCGTGCACCACCACGGCCAGCCTGGAGTCACCATTCTTTTTTTTCTTTTCTTTTCTTTCCTCTTCTTTTTTTTTTTTTTTAAAGATTTATTATGTATACAGCATTCTGTCTGCATATATGCATGCAGGCCAGAAGAGGGCACCAGATTTCATTACAGATGGTTGTGAGCCACCATATGGTTGCTGGGAATTGAACTCAGGACCTCTAGAAGAGCAGCCGGTGCTCTTAACCTCTGAGCCCATGTTTCCAGCCCCTCACCATTCTTAATATGGTTGCCACATACAGAAACAGCTTGCTTGATTGAACAGTGGAATCACTTTTTAAACAAACAGTTACAGGGCTAACTGGGTGGCAGTACCTTGGAGGGCTGGGGCAGAGTTCTCCATGAGGTTATACGTGCTTCGAGTTTTTCCTTCAGCCAGGACTCAGGACCATAATAATCAAGGGAGGAAAAGGGAATGGTTCCACTCACCATCACCCTTACTAGCCCACCAAGAACATTTTTGTTTTCTGTTCCCAGGACCTTATACTCTGCTGGCTTAGAAGTTATTGTTCCAGAGTGCTTCTGCCAGGAGATACAACAAACATTGCATTGAGCTAGACGCTAAGACACGCCCACCCCCCACAAGCTTATGTTGGGTTTCTGATGATCTTAACCCAACAGGCTAAAATAGGAGTAACAGTGTTAGAAGGGATGACTGATCCAGACTACCAGAGGCAAACTGGATTGCTTCTCCACAAGAAGATTGTCTGAAGTGTAGGAGGAGATCCTTTAGGGCAGTGCTTCTCAACCTTCCTGATGCTGCCGCCCTTTAATGCAAGTTCCTCATGTTGTGATAACCCCAACCAGAAAATTATGTTGTTGCTACTTCATAACTGCAGTTTTGTTGTTATGAATAGCAATGTGAATGTCTGACATGCAGAATATCTGATAGTCGACCCCCAAAGAGGTCAGGACCCCCACAGGCTGAGAACTGCGGCTTTAGGGCATCTCCTGGTGTTACCAGGCCATGTGATTGAGGTCAATGGGAAATTGCAACAATTCAATCCAGGCAAGGTGACGAATGACCTAGACCCCTCAGGGATGCATATATGGGTCACCCCTCCAGGACAGAATACAGAATGGGGAGTAGAGGAAGGTAGCTATAAATACCAGCCATGGCCATGCGACTAGTTTCAGAAATGAGGATTATAATTTAGCCTGTCCTTGAGGGAAGTCAAGGCAGGAATCTGGAGCCAGAAACTGAAGCAGAGGAAGAATGTTGCTTACATGACTCAGACTATTTTTTATACCTCCCAGGGTCACCTGCCCAGGGGTGGCACTGACTGCCAGGGGATGGCTCTGCTCACAAAGGCTGGGCCCTTCTTTCCACATTGGTCATTAACCAAGAAAATGGCTCACAGACCAAACTGATGGAGGCATTTTCTCCGTTGAGGTTCCCTCCTCCCAGATGACCTTAGCAAGTGTTAAGCTGAAAAAAAAAAAAAACTAACATACACAAACATATTTGTGCTTAATACACAAATGTTAAGCAAATATTTGTGTTTTCTTGCCATATGGTGGTTCACAAATATCTGTAACTCCACTTCCAAGAGATCTGACACCTCTTCTGGCCTCCATGGGCACCAGGCATTCACATACAATGCACGGACATCTATGCAGGCAAACATGAATATACATAAAATAAAAAAATCTTTTAAAAATTTAAAAAGAAATGTTAGGGACAGGCTGGGGATGTAGCTCAATTCAAAGTGTTTGCCTAGCATGCCTAGCATGCATGTTTGATCCCCACACAGTACAGTCTAGATTGTCACAAATCTGTAATCCCAGCATTTAGCAAGTCGAAGCCACAAGATCAGGAGTTCAAGGTCATCTTCTGATACATAGTTACAGTTTGAGAACCCGTGTCTCGGAAAAACAAAGCTATCTAGCAACGGAGACCGGAGACCATCCTCTCTCAAGAGATCGTGACCTTGCTGGTGTGATGGCTCCACCAGAAAACATATTGTGTAAAGCCTGGGGATGGGAGTTCAACCTCTAGACCCACAGTGGAGGAAGAGAACCACTTCCAAAATATTATCTTCTTACCAATTTAAAAAGAGCATCTTGCCATGTAGCCAAGGCTGGCCTCAAATTTGCTTTGATCCTCCTGCCCAGCCTCCCTGAGTAGCTGAGAGTATAGCGGTGTACCACCAGGTCTGGTTCTGAAAATATTCATCTGAAGCCTGAACTTGAACCAATGCACTTTACAGAAATAAGCGGATATCCAGACTTGATCTGGACTGTGCTTAGAGTTACCATTGGGAGGCGCCTGAAGACTTCCGGGCCAGACACTAACTAGTGTTAGATACAAAAACTGAGGCCCTGAAAGGGAAGTCATTTTCACAGCGCCAAAATAGCCACCAGTGACTCAGCACAGACTCATCTGTGCCGTGCTTTTTCTCTATTGGTGTTTATTCCCTGAAATGTTTCTTGCTGCTAATGAATGTGAAACTTATGTTTTATAATTGAATACCTTAAATGAAAAGCTGTGTATTGACAAAAATTCCAGGAGAATATTTTTTTTCTTTTTTGATTTTTCTAGAGATGGGGTTTCTCTGTGTATCCCTGGCTGTCCTGGAACTCCCTCTGTAGACTAGGCCTGCCTTGAACTCACAGGGATCTGCCTGCCTCTGCCTCCTGAGTGCTGGGATTAAAGGTGTGCGCCACCGAGAACGATCTTTCTAGATAAGGAAAAACCTCAAAGTGCATACTGTATAGGCTAGGCCTGGCACTTTGCTTTGTGTGAAGTAGGGTTATGGCACATTATGGTAGCTAGATATGGTGGCTCACACCTATCATTTCAGCATTTAGAAAGGTGAGGTAGGAGGATTGCCACTATTTCCAGGACAACTCTGGTTACACAGTGAGTTCCAGGGCAGCCAGGAAGAAAGAAAAAGAAAAGTGGGGGGGGGGTAGAGGGAGGTAAATGACGGTGCTTTGGAATAAACACAAAAACATCTACATTCAAGTATCAAAGATGTGACGAGGCTGGAGAGATGGCTCATCAGTAGGGGGACTTGCTGTTCTTCCAGAGGACCAGAGTTTGGTTCCCAGTACCTATGTATGTCAGGAGGTTCACGACTATAGCCGGAGCTTTTCTGTCCTGCCCGCCAGCCCCGCAGCTGCTTATGAAATAATCACTCAGAGGCTTAATAATAATTGCAATTGCTTGGCCAATGGCTCAGGCTTAATACTGACTAGCTCTTACATATAAATTAACCCATTTCTAATAATCTGTGTATCGACACGTTGGCTTTGTGGCGTTACCTGTTCTCTGGTACACACTTGTGCCAAATCTTTAAAAAAGCCGGGTATGGTGGTGCATGACTTTAATTCGAGAACTAGGGAGACAGAAGCAGATGGGTCACTGTGAGTTCCATGCCAGCCTGGTCTATATAGCAAGTTCCAGGCCAGTTAGGACTTGTCTCAAAAAAAAAAAAAAAAAAAAAAACCGAAAACCAAAAATGAGTTTCCACTGGTAATTTGTCCATGCTCCTGTAAACAGCACATTACAAAACAGCAGAGAAGCCACCAAAGAAGCAGGGGAATGTCTTGAGAGGAGTGGGAGAGGGGGACAGGATGGTAAAGGGCAACAAGGGGCAAAACAACCAAAAGCGTTTATGAAACTGCAAAGAGTAATTTTTGAAAAAAATTCTACATTCAGGGCAGCAAGATGGCTCCAGGGGTAAAGACACTTGCTTCCAAGTCTGAGGACTTGAGTTCCATTCCTGGGACGCACATGGTAGGAAATTGTTCTCTGACCTCCACATGGTGTCATGGGACTCACTCGTGTGTGCAAATACACACACACACACACACACACACACACACACACACACACACTGAATAAAAAGTAATAAAAATCTGCTTGGGCTGGAGAGACGTTTCACAGGACGTCCTGACCCCCAGGACCCATCCCCAGGACCTTCCGTGTCATACTGTCTCGGCCCGTCCCATCTGTCCCTCCTTCCTTTGTGTGTCCCCCCCCCTTAAGCAGAAGATAAACAGATGACCCCAGAAGACAAGTACAAACTGAGGTATAGCCAGAAGTGTTAGTTACACTGTACATCAAGAATTATTTGATGACAAACAATGTAGTCTGTTTTAAGGAAGGTCTTAAAAGTCAATGGCCTCACAGTATTTGAAATGTGAGATAACAAGGCTGCAAGAATTTTAGACTCTGCATTTCCTGACTTAAGAAGATCTCCATGGCATTTACTGTTTATCATGCCTGTTAGTACTTCTGTATGTACCTGGGTCTAACAAATATCTGTTACTTAGGAAAAAGAGGAGTGCCTAAAGGCTTAGAAGATCATATTTCGAATTTGGAACACATCTAAAATCTTGTTCAGAGAGAGATTTCAGCAAGTAAGGTCACTACCACCAGGCCTCATAACCTGAGTTCCATCCTGGAATCCACACGGTAGGAGAACTGACTCCCTCAAGTTGTCCTCTGACCTCTATACACTGTCTGTAGAACTGTCCACTCTCCCCCATAAATACAATGTAACAAAAAAAAATGTATTGTTCAGGCTCCCAAAGAGTCAAGGAAACAGCTAAGTCAGATTGCTTTGTATCTAGATGTGTGAATTTGTCATTAACAACTCAGAGGATCCTTTTCTATGAACTAAAAACTCTTGACTCAGGCAGTAAAAAACAAAATCCTGAAATCTATCCTTCACGAGGACATTTAAGACCTGAGGCTACATTGTAGAATTGAGATCTGCCCTAGTTTCACAAAACACACATAAAGCACTAGGCTGGAGCGTCTTCAATCAAGCCAAGCAGCGTATGGTGGTGTGTCAGTACACAGAATGCATTAAGTATTCCTAGAGCTAGGCCACACAGTCTACAGTCTAACAGACTGACAAAACAGAAAGACAAAACAAGGTGTAGGTTAGACAGGAAGGCAGGGGGCAGAAGGGGTGAGAAGTTTTGACACATAAAGTTGAAAGGGAAAGGAACTCACATGGGTGTATGGAAACAACCAGATTGGAGGAGGAAGGCACACTGGATAACTCGAGAAATTTCTGCAACGAGGACTGTCAAACTACACTGACTAAAACCCAGTTTCTCCTCCAACTTAAGACTCAATACCGGAGAGAAAGGAACGGTGGGATGGCCGCCCGATGGGGGCAGTGGGTGTGGTGAGATGGCTAAAGGCGGTGCGGGGAGTAAAGCAGGCAAAAGTGGCCTTGAAAGTGTGCGGACGGGAGAGGGCGTGGGGTAAGTGTGGATATCGGAGGAGGGGGGGGACACGGCCGTGGGCTCGCCGGCTCTCGCAGGGGCTGCGCGGTGCGGCAGGGTTGCCGGCCACCCCGGCGCGGATAGGGTTAAGCGTCCGCGGCAGAGGGCAGAGCCCGGT